GTTCTTTCTAATACCCTCAGAGAGCATAGCTCCACTATTGATTCTCTTCCTTACCACATGCAGGCAGTCCTAAAGAGTCTAGACTAAGAGGATTTGCCATTAGGTATGCAACCAGCAGCAGAGAGAAAGCATTAAAAATTGTGTCCAGAGCTGGAGAGATAGCATGGCAGTTAGGAGTACTTGCTGTCCTTGCATAGGACCTAGGTTCAGTTTCCAATATCCAGAGACAGCTTATAAGTCTATAACTCTAACTCCAGGGAATTCAGTGTCCTTTGATGTGGTATTCCCCTCTGTATGCTGTGAATACATTTTATTAGCATCAGTTAATAAAGAAGCTCCTTTGGCCTATGGCAGGGCGAACATAGCAAGGCAGAAAATCCAAGCGGAGATAGAGAAGGAAAGAAGGTAGAGTCAGAGAGATGCCATGTAGCCACCGAAGGAGAAAGACAACAGAACCTTACCAAGTAACCTACAGCCTCGTGGTTATACACAGATTAATAGGAATGGGTTAATTTAAGATGTAAGAGCTAGCTAGGAATATAACTAAGCTGTTGGCAAAACAATGTTGTAATTAATATAGTTTCTGTGTGATTATTCTGGCCTGAAATTAAAGTACAGTCTCTATTTACAATCCTCTTCTGGAACCTGGGGGCACAGGCATGTACACAGTATTTTACAATCAGGCAAAACACTCATACATGTAAAGTAAAAAAAAAAGTCTTTAAATAAAATTAAAAATAAAAATTGTGATTATATTAAACATGTAGACATTTTTTCTCCGTCATTTACTTTCTAAAAATCACACTGTAATTCATGTATCATTTACATTGGGGTAGGTATTATAAATAATGTAGATGTTAGAAAACTATATAGGAGGTGTACATAGTTTATATGCAAACACTGGACCATCTTAGAAAAGGAGCTTAAACATCTGTGAAAATTGGTATTAAGGGGGAGGAACCTAAGAATCAATCACCTACAGAAACCACCAAGACCAAGGAACAAACTAAAGTTTACCACTGCAACACACAAAGGTTGACAGACATGTACATGCATACTCCTATTTTCAACAGTATAAAACTCTTCTAACAACAAAGAAAGTTGAGACTAGAATGGAAATGATTATGATTCTGTAATGCTGTTAAGGTGTGAAACACAGCCACAACTCTATCTGGATCTAAAGCTGACAAAATGAAGTTAGTCTAACAGGCGGCAGTTTTGTCCTCACCATACTGTATTATGTGTTAAGTAACTGAGTTCTTTATTGCACTGCTCTGTAAAAACGCAATGAAACCCCAGATGTCATTCATGTACACAGAAGGCAGATGTAGGGTTGAAAAGGGACCCTTTATTTGCATGCTAATAGCTTTTGAAAGGACATGAAAAATTCTACATGGAGAACAACAGACACCAAAATATTTGTCTATGTTTAATAACAATATGGGGTAATCAACTAGTATTCTTGGAATTTGCCTGACAACCATTTTTGCCCTCCTTTGATTATACGGAGAATGAGGATAAGATACAATCTCTAGCATGGGGCCCTGTTAAGTTACTAACCTCCCAACTCCAAGTTTTCCTTTCCTGGAAATTCTCCTTTTCCAGCTGCCATTCCACATGATTGATGCACAATGGGGTACATGCTGCTGTCTCCCTTATTCCCACTAACCTGGGAAACTAAAAGTCGTCCTTTGAACACACCTGCACAGTAGTACTCAGCTTGCAGGAGTGGATGTCTGTCTGTTACCCATGACCAACAATGAGTCAAATGAAGAGCCTCCATGACCTGCACACAGGGTAAGGCACTTGTACCAACGTTCAGAAGTAATACAGAAGTACAAAATCACTACTTTCCAACAGAGAAGTGTACAGCAGTGAAGCCACATAACCCAAGCCATCATCATTCCTGCCTCTCTGAGAATCTCTAGCCACAAGACACATCCACCTTGTTCACTAACCCTACAGAAGGCCGGTATTCTGCCTCAGGTACCTCCTCCACCTCTGCCAAAGGGCTTCCCTCAAATTCCTAAGACTCCCATCATGGCTTAGAACCACAGACCAGATGCTCTCAGGCTTTCACAGGCTGTTACTCAATGACAAGTCTAACCACATTCCCCTTTTCCAATCTCTTACCTCTTGGCTATATTACACCTATGAGAATCAATTTGTAAAGCCTTAATAGAAGGTAAGACTCTATATTTATCATTTTTCCTAACCACAATAGCGGTACTCCTTAAACTACCTACATATGCATTATACTTTTGAGTAAAAGGTCGCAGATGCAATCTAACAGACCCCAGAGTTCCAGGCAACGAAATGACTTGCAGAATTTTGCAAGTTCCAAACAAAATTTAATTCTACATGCTGAATCAGGCTTCTTAAGACTCCAGTAGTACCTAGATCTTGATGTAATTTGTCCTTTGAGTGCCAATATTTTGGAATGGGCAATCTCTTAAGACTCTTCCTTCTTACCTTGTGTGTCTTTCATAAGAATTAGCTGCTATGCACAGACTTGGGCCAAAGGGCTTTGTTCTTCAGGGAAATACAATTATCTTCTAATTCTGTTAGAAGAATCCCAGACACTAATGATTTAACACCGTTCAAACTGCAGAGAGCATCTAAGCCCAACCACGCTGTCAAATGATATGTTACCATCTGTGTAAGGAATGTACTTTTAAGAAGATGACAGCAAGAAACTTGATGGAATTAATCTCAGAGATGTTTTGAAGAATTGTTATTTTTGAAATCTGGGTTATATAGTCCAAAAGTCCCCCTCATCTCCCAAGAAGGAGGGGCTGGGTATGTCACTCAGTAGTAGTACGAAGCCATGAGTTTGAACCTCAGAACTACAAAGGGGATGGAGGGATAGTTACAAGTAATATTTGGTAATTTAAAATCAGCATGACCCCATGAAAAAGGCAGGAGTTTACAGGAGACTATCTTCCCAAAATGTATAGTCATTATATGCTTAAAACACTATAACTGAATCTGACCAGCTTTGTCCACATGACACTGTAGATAAAACCAGGCCCACCACGCAAATGTTGGAATCCATTCAATGGTGCAAGCACAAGTTGGGTACCAAAAAGTTACAATTATGAGCTTTAACAAAAAGCCATGGCTGTTTCTAGCATCTGTTCTTGGTCTTTGTGTTTTGATGGTGGAATAGAAAACCAGTCCGCCCTAGTGTCCTATAGGTGGCTGGAGGGCTGAGACATTGTGAAAAGCAGCCTCCTCCGACAAGCATTGACTAAAGAACAGGAGAACCTAGGAAAACGTTGGAAACCTAGAGAAGAATTCTCTTTGATTTTATTTCTAAGGTTCTTCCAGTTCCAACTTAAAAGTCAAAGGAATCCATATCCTTTCACATCTAAAATATCAGTCCACAAGTCAGACCACTCACAGGCTGTCTGTGCTGACCCAGGTTGGAGGGAATCTCTGCTTTAGAAGCCTCTCTGTCCTACTAAAGGAGTTTGCTGCCTTTCTTTGACACTGGCAAATTCTGATAGCTTCTGCCCCTCTGAATGGAATTAACAGGCCCCAGCTAGACAAAACGTGTGTCCTCCTCAAGCAATTTTCACTAAGGTAAAAAGCACACTTCAAAACTAAAGGTACACAAGAGATGTGTGACGCCGTCACACAAGTTTTCCTTTAGTCTTTTTTTTCTCTCCTAGTGAGGCCCCAGCCTAGGTGAGTAATTCATTCATGTCATCCATTTGTAATGATGAGATGAGAAAAGAAACCATCATTTGTCCTTTTCCGAATTTAGAACCTTGCCCTATCTCGAGTCTATCAAAGGGTTCCTGAGGTGGGAAGGCAGGAGAGGCAAGGAGGAACATTAGTCTCCGGTTACTGCAGCCACCAGAGAATAAGCACTTTGGGTCCCCACCTATGTCGATACAGGCATCTGCACTTAGGTGATGTGCACCCCCACCCCTCTCTACTCCTCGTGTCCCCTTGAAGGGAGAGTCTGAGTTCTTTCTTGGGAGACTTACATAAGACCCTGTAAAACTTCCTGTGACATTCACAGAAAATGTAAGCTGCTATTTTGCTCCCTCGGGAAATCATTTTAAAGGACTGAGTGACAAAATTCACAGATTCAGAATTGAGCAGAAACCTACTCAACCCAGGTGCACCAGCACAGGAACAGGAAAAAAAAAAAAAAGCGCATCCCTATTAAACAGGGTCATCCAGGGGATGGACTGAATGTGCAAAAGACAATCTGTTCCCTTTGGCGTGACCCATTTAAAAGCAGATTGTTTCTAGGAAGCCCATAAGTTTAAAAAATTCTCACTCTGGCAAAGACATGGCTTGTAAAAAGAACTGTGGTTACATAGTGGGAGCGTTTCAAAGCGATGAACAGCATAACTTCATGATGCTGAAACTTTAGTCACCATCCCAACGTCCAGAAGCAATGGCATTCACAAGAAATTCTGTCTAGACCAGAATGGATCAAGAATAAACTTGATCCCTACAAGTTTAGTCTAAAAGGAAGGATCAGGTGTGTTGGCTGTTCTTCCTCTTGTGGGTATTGACGCAAACCATCCACTCTAACCCAAAAAGCTTTTGCAAAATGTGGATGCACACCAAACCGTCCTTTCTTCAATTAATTGCAAAGCAAGTTCTAGGGGCAACCCATCATGAAAGGCGGGTAGGTGAGCAGGGCAGAATGGCGGGAAGGGTCCCAGGGTAGTGGGAATACAGCACCTCCAGATGTTAGAGAACTCCCACACATAACATCCCACCCCACCATTGTCTACCTACATCTGTCCGCCTATGAGTCTGTCATACCCTGAGACAGGTCCTGAGAACACCAGAGATTTAGGGTCTTCAACCTCCTGCTTTTTCAGAACTCAAAGCCAAGTCAAAAACGGTGTGCCCTCCGTCTTCCACAGTAACCTAAGCACACCGGGTATCAGCCACAGGTATGGGTAGCTTGTTAGGACACTTCTCACCAAATCGCCTCACAAAGAGGTTCTCTCGCAACCTAGGGCTCTTACCTTGGCCTTGACTACCCAGGAAAAAGAACACTCCGGAAGAGCTGACACTGGAAAGCTTGGTGACACTGACGCCTAAGAAATGTAGGGGGTCCGGGTCGGTATCCCAGCAGGTGCCGTTTTAACCCGACGGCCGGTGCCAAGTGTAGACTTCGGGACAGCCTTTAGCTCCAAATACCACAGGAAAGGTCCGGGTAGCCGCGACAGAGCACTGTCCCTTCTTTCTCCTCCTCCTGGGCTGCTGCCGGGAGCTGTGTCTCGCCAAAAAGAATCTTCCAAGCCGGGAGCGTCTCGCGTGGGCAGGGGCCTGGGGCGGCCCAGGGTTGGGTCCCGCGGGAACCAGCGCCAGGAAGAAACGCGGAGCGGACACCCTACCGGCTCCACCTAGCCGCTTAGCCCCTTCAGGGCAGGGCCTGCCCACAACCCGCCGGCGAGGCAAGTGAGTGCGGCCGCGCCCCGGCACCAGCGCCCGGGCTCGGGAACAGCGACCAGGCCGGGATCTGCTCAGCGGGCCCTGGTGGCCTGAGCAGCGAGCGTGCACAGGGACCGGCGGTAGCTGGTCCCAGTGACCCTCCCCCCACCCGGGCCTGCGCGCCGGCCCGCGAGTGCACGAGAAGCGGGAGCTGGAGCGGGCCTCGCCCTGGTGTGGGGCGCGGGACCGGGGACTTGGGGCCGAGGTAGGCGACCCTTGGAAGGTCAGAGTCGCCGGGGCGCGGCAAGCGGGACGCAGCACTGTGGGTGCGGGGAACCCGGACGGGCGGCCCCCACCGCCGCCGACGCCTCCGAGACGCGCCGGCTTCCCGGAGCGCTCGGGTTTGGAACCGCGCGTCGGCTGCGGCCGCCGAGGGCAGCCTGGAGCCGCGAGCGCGCGATCCCCGCTTCCCGCGCGCGGCCGAGCGGGAACCTCTGTGCGGGGACCCGCGTGGGAGCGCGCTGGCAGGCGCTGAGGTTCGAGCTCCGGGCTAGTCCTGCGGCCGCCGCGTGCTTAAAGCGTCCGGCTCGCTCAGCAGCTGCAGTGACTGTGTGTCAGTGTCAGGTCTGTGCAGCTGGGGGTGGGGGATGCAATCGGGACTGGGTTCCGAGCTGGGGAGGGACCGGAGCCTGCCTCGGGCCCCGCCCCCACCCCCGTGACCTCACGGACGACCAATGGACAGAGCCAGGAATGAGCGTCTCAAGCGCCCGCCCTACCTAGGCTCCGCCCACGGCCAGGCGCCTCCCTCCACTCCCTGAGTCTCCAGATAGCTGGAAGAAGCAACACCCGGAGCGGGGATCCCGGGCCGGGTCGTGGGGAAAGAGAGCTGGCAGGAGCTCCCCACCCTTCTTCCCCCACTTGGGCCGCTCCCGTCCGCTCCGGGATTGGAGGAAAGAGGGGAAAGGAGGCAGACCGGATCCGCAGCTGCTGCTGTAGGACTGCCTGCCGTGGGGGTCACCGTGCCACCCACGATTTTACAAAATAGCAGTCTTTAGGAAGTAGGAAGTTTCTCCTGCTCTTTCTTCTGCTGGGGACAGGGTATGGGGCAGCTGGAGCTGCGAAAAGTCCCCCCAGAAGGTTTTGACTGCATCTGTTAGGATTCTGGATCCAAGAATCCTCTGCAAGACGATTTTTTTCAGGGGTATTTACATTTTTGTGCCCTCCCCAATACACACAGATGGGCCCCTTTCTAATTTTATTCTTGCTCAAATCCCCGCGTGCAACATCCCACTGGAAGGACTTCCAGCCTCCTGGTGTTAATGGTGAGGTTGGGGAGATGCCGAGAGTCCGCCCATGCAGCGGAGGAGCGCAGGAATTTTGTCACGGTAAAGGGGACGGACTGTCCCTCCGGGGGGCGGGGGGGAACCTGAGGCTGAAGCAGAGTCTGGGAAGAGAAAGAAGATACCGGCGGATGGACAACTCCAACTGGAAAACCGAGCTCCGAGAGCGCAATCCAGCTCCCAGGTTTTTTCCTCAGCTCGATCCCAGGGTTTCTGGGGTCCCCTTCTTTCCCCCACCCCCCACCCCTGAGTCTTCACCTCTCCTCCACACTACAAGCCGTTGAGCCTCCGCTTTCCCCGTGCCTCTCTCTGCAGGCAATGCACACGCTTTCTTTTAAAGGCTGGGAAGGATGGAGAGTGGAGGGGTGAGCAAAAAAAAAGGCCTCCTAGCCTTTCCACCCGAGGTAGGGAACCAGTCTTCCCTGGGAGTCGGCTACACACACACACACACACACACACACACACACCCGCTAGCTCTGGCCTTGGTACTTACACCCCTTGGGCGGTCTTTTGACTAGTCCAACACTCTTCTGCTCACTCCAAGTTTCCCTCCAGTCTCTAGAAACCAATACCCATTCCACCACCATCAGAGTCTCTCCCTGATTAGGTAATATTTACCTAATCAGTGGTAGCTCCAGTGGAGAAGGCGAAAGGAAGGTAGCGATTGCACAGCAAAGTCCCTGGCAAAGAATTAAAAAACGTTTGCTTCCGAGCTTTGGGATAATAAACCGCGTTGCTGGGGCCCTGATATCTTAACTCTGCCGGGATGACTTTCAACGTGAAAGAAAGCAGATCGTATCTGGTGTTGATGCCATTATTGTGCCGGAAAGAACATTATATAATAAATTATTATCTATTATCCTAGAAGCCATTAAAGTGTCAAAGTTTAATGTCAAGCCTTTAGCTGCCTTGAGCTCAAAGGCAGTTCAGTACTTCCTCTGACGTACAGCTTTGTTCTAGAACGCCCAGTAAACAAGGAGATCGTTTATTTATTTATTTATTTATTATGTGGCGCGAAAGACTTTCCTACTCTGTTCCTCCACCCACACACCAGCTCTCGCCCTAGAACTTGATAGAGATAAATAAAAGATAAACTTTTTATTTATCGCCTGGCTTCACTTCATATTAATGGTGTAAAAGTGCATTATTACAATACATTAGCATGTTAATAAGGGGAAGGGAAGAGAGTCTTGGAATTTACAAACAAAGGAGAAAATCTAATTGACATCAGAAACTCAAAAGATAAAGAATGTGGAAAGAAACCTCTCCACTGTAATAACATGAAACATCTTCATTGTAATAACACAAGAGTGGTACCTTGTCAAGATCTTTGAAAGATATGAATAGGGTGCTGGGAGGGAGCATTAGTCAGTGGGATCAGTGAGGTCCCATAGTTACTAGGGGCTTCATGAAGTTGGCTATCATGGGCCATTAAACTCCTTAGTTGCTGAAAAGCTTCTATCAACTCAAGGTTCCAGTTGTACAGCAGCAGTATATGTAATAGGCTAAAGGGAGAATGCGTTAAGACAGCACTGGTTAATTCCTGTCATAGGAAGCTCCACATTGTAGTTTTTCCTTTTGGAAAACTGTTAAGCTCTTAAACCTCCCAGTCTAAGTGTGTGTGTGTGTGTGTGTGTGTGTGTGTGTGTGTGTGTGTCCGGAAGTTGGAAGTGATTGCCTAGAAGTTATAGGTCTTAGACATAAACCAAGATATGAATGTCAAAAAATGATTTTGACTTTGAAATAATATAGTACGAAAATGCAGGATAAAATATGTAAGGAATATATCTGTTATTTCTATAAAAAAATCAGCCTAGGTTCAACTGAGAAATGGAAAGTACAGTACCCTCTAAACCAACTGCTATTTATCCTCACACCAACATTGCACCTGTTAACTGAAAAGTCTGAACCCCCACCCTAACCCCCAAATCTGTCTCTTGGTTATCTTTTCTCCTCTTCAATAGGGTCATACAGAACTCATCTTAAGAAACCCGAGGTCTTAAAACAGCCACTAGGGGCCCCTAAAGGCATCTCTCGTCTCCCTGGTTTCTGACCTGCTTTCCTGAGTACTTATTGCCACTGGGATCTAAAGAGAAGTAAAGAATGAGCATGGTGTGGAGACAAATCAGGCCTTTGACTTAGGAGTCAAGAATTTTGTTTCTGCATTTTCTGATATCTAAAGCCCTCATTATTCCACAAAAGGAATTTTGCATCCATTGATGGCAGCATCTCAAAGTCAAAGCAACAATGTCTACCTTTCCAGACTAGACTCAGTCTCTGATTTGGTACATTTTTCTCACTATCTGACTATTCCTCAAAAGTTGAGTAGTTAGACTGAATCTTTGCAGAGAGAATACCTAACAACTTGAATACCAATGCAGCTACCAATAGAAGTCAAGACAACTTCAAATTGTGTGTGTGGGGGGGGGGGGGAAGAGGGCAGATGTCCATATTAAACTGGCCAGAAAGCCTCAAAGAGCTTCCTCTCTCTACCTTCTCAACCTTAGGATGACGGACACACACTACCATGCCAACTTTTTATGTGGGTTCTAGGAATCCTAACTCCAGTCCTCATATTTGCAGAGCAAGCCATTTACCACATTGAGCCATTTCTCCAGCCCCACCTTGGAGACTGGATGCTAGTGATGACATTAGTGGGGATACTTGAGTACAGTGGGAATGATTCACACTGGAGACTGCAGCAGAGGACACTGACCAGTCAAGAGAGAAAGGTTGCAATATCTTAATGTTGCATTTGCCAAAAACAAATATCAGGTAACCTTAGCAATCACATAATCTCTGTCCCCCATCTTACCACTCAGTAAGGTTAAGGTGTCCTTTATGAGAGCTGAGTATCGAAGAATACCCACGTAGCTCAGGTTAGAGAAGCTCCAACCAGTGCTGGAGAAATAAATATCTGTAAACAATATTCTATGTAGGCATGTTTCCAATGAAAATTTACTCACCAGGCATGAAACATTCCTGTCATTCTGGCCAATAATAAAAAGACATTCCTAGGCAAAGCAAAATGCACCCATCAGGGAGACACAGGGAAGAAGCCACTTACTTGGTGAAGAATTAAAGAATGTTAATATAAGTCATCAAATTAACACTAATGGAAGTGTAATTTGAACATAATTTAACTGAAAACCAAGCAAGTCCAAAAGTGAGACATGAAACAGAAAATGAGAATAAAGTCTTTCTGTGTGAAATGAAAACAATATTTTATGTTCTCTGCATCATGTTCATTAAGTAGGTTGAATACAAGTGATCCCAAAATAGCATTATTAACTTCTAGGAGACTTTCTACCTCAAACTTCAGAGCCTTATAATTAGAATGGATTTGGCTCTAGATGGAAGATGCAATTGTCTGTAGGGGTGAAGGTGTATTCACTCATTGGCTGTGAGAGGCCATCAGAGTCCAACCTTGTCAGGTAGATAGCTCCCTGGACACCTTAAGAAAAAAAAAAAAACCAATAATGTCAGAGCCCTCTCTGGAAGAAGGATACATTGGTGCTAGAGAGGTCAAAAGAAAAGGCAAAGCAAAATTCTCTTCTCAGGTCCCGGCAAAGTGGGACTTCAAGCTAGTGTGGTATAAGGCCCCGAAACAGAAATATAAATTGTAAACATGTTCTGGAAATAATAGATAAAGATGTATAGCTTTTGGAATTGGTAAATGAGTTAAAAGGGTAGGAATGACTGGGTGGGCATGTTTACAGCCCCTGCTACCTGCCCTCCTCTATTTGTTTACAACCAAAACCTGCAGAGTGAGAAAACCTGCTGGTTTAGTGGGCCTGTGCTGGAGCCTGGGGTTCTGCTTACTAAGCAGAGCTGTCCACAGACCACACCATCCATTAACAGTATCTATCCTCCTTTTCCTGTTTGCTGGGTTAGGATACCTCAAAAGGTAAACCCAGAGGAAAGGATATGAAATTGGAAAGTAACACCAAAAAAAGGAAAAAAAAAAATGGGGTGGTTTCAGTGTCCACAGCGGCCATGTGTTGGATGCCCAATGTGATAGTATACATAGATGGGCCTTTAGGAGCTAAGTAAATGTCCAAACTATTGGAATATCCGGAGAGCCTAGAGCTCAATTAGAATTGGGTTTTCATAGTAGTAAAGGTGGGGGTGAGGGGTTTCTGAGGTTCAGGACCTCTGATTGATTGACCTCTGTCTAGGGGTGTCCTGGTGAATTTGTACTATCAGGTGATCCTATCTACAATGGTTGGAATGCCAGGCATTCCTTTGAACAGTCTGTTCTTGGGTAGGGGTAATCTCAGTTTGTGGTTCCACCTGCAGCCAGGCATTGCCTCAGGGCAAA